CACCACACTGGGACTGGGAATGTAAACATTCAGTCTCAGGCACGTCAGGTCAACTCAGCTGGAAAGCCAGTTTGCTTCATCTATGGGATTATTTTAAAGGGATGTGATTAACCACCTCTTGGCCGGTGGAGCTATAACATCGAACCATCTCCTCCTCGTCATACACACGCCCATCACTTACTAACAAACATCACAAGATATTCAAATTTCTTTTAACTTCTGACAGATACGTCCACATTTTCTCTCCCTGTAAAGAAAGGAGTCTGCACTAGCAGTCGGGGGGGTGTGCCAAAGACAAAAGGAAAATTTGTGGGAAGCACAAATATCAAAAACAGCACTGCTTATCACCATTGTGACTGTTTACAACCAGCCTATAAGATTGTATAGCAGACTCCCATGTCACTCCTGAGCTTTAGCCATCCAGCCATTCGTGCCTTCTCCATACAAAGACAAGTCCTTTCCCTGTTAATTACAGGTAAGCATGTGGATCAAAATTTACATAGAAAGCCACCTGCTCAAGCCTGCTCAAGAACACTTGCACCTTTGCCTAAAATCTCATTTTTATAGGCTCTGTACCGATTTATTTTTGTTGATGAGAGCAATGAGGAGGTAAGTTGCACGTCTGGGAGATGCAGCAGAAACAGGCTGAGCAGTAGGCAGACACGCACTAATGTATCAGTCCAGAACCAATTCATAACAAATCAGTTATATCAGATACCAGTGAGCACGTTTCAGAGTTTATCCTGAAAACCTCAAAACTTACATTCAACAACTGAGCAACACTGCTGATTCCTTTAATATACAACTATGTAACTTTCACATTATTGGTTGAATTGTAAACACAGTTGCTGGGATTTATTTTTTATTTTTTGGACAACATGATGCACCTGTATTTTCTAGGCCTTTGTGTGCAAAAGAGTTGAGCAGGAATAAGGCCATCATCATTAGGCATATTTTAAAAAATATATGCTATCCCATTGCGCTGCTGCAACTTGATTTCCACAAAGTCGGCATTTTACACATCATGCAGCCTGAACTGAATCCCTTATAACAAGAAACCTCTGCATACATTTAGTTGTTTAGAGAGAAAAGGCCAAGATCAGGTTTAGGATTTTAAGACTCAAGAAGTGCATCATTGAAATAAAAATCACAATTAGCCTGAATTTTTTTTTATTTTAATCCAGCCCTCCCATTGAGGAAGAGTCACTATCTAAATACGTGACCAATGCACTCCAGACTGAGTGCAACCTCCGTGACTCTTATGTAGCACGCAGTTCTCATCATCTACAACCCCTCTGCAAATGACTGAGCTTTATGCTGGTGCAGCCTAAAGGCTGCATCATTATGGAGGTCTCAGGACTTCTGTACATTTATTTTGCTCTGGTGAGGTGCATTGCGCACCACATGCTACTTGTAATATAGACAGATTTCTGGTTTCTATTTTCTGTAACAGGCGCAGGGGAGGGGAGGGGAAGAGACTGGACTCTACACACACTGAAATACATAGATTCACTAAGCAGAACTCCCATCAATGTCTATGGAGCTCTGACCCTGCCAGTTACTCTCTCTGGGCCGGGGTTGGGGTGGGGGGTGTCCTCGGTACCCAAAAGGATTTTAAATCCAATGCATGTCTCAGCTTTTTTGCATGAGGAATGTGCCTGTTTTTGAGCTGTTGAGGGAGCTGTAGAGAAGCTGCCTGCTCTACTGGAGGCTGATGGGTCTCAGATGTATTTTATTAAAGACTGCTGTTACATAAAAACCTAAACCAGGATTACATGCTGTACTACAATAAAAAGTGTTGTTTTGTACGATGTCAGACTCCTGTGCTACTCTTAGCAACCACCAGCCCCACTCTGTGCCTCATGTCACAGAGGTAAGCATCCTTTCCCTGCAATGTAAACACCAGGGGATGTTTGAAAAAGCCAGATTGTTTCACAGCACTTTGGCTGCACTGGAGATATTTTCACAATCTTTCAAAAGTCTGAACAAGCCGGATAAAAAAAAAATTCTCTCTGCTGCAAGACAAAAAGGTTTTTAACCCATTCAGCAACTGCATTTCCTGCAAAGCTGCAACAATTAATCAACTGACAGAAAATTAATCAGCACCTGTTTTATTAATCAAACAGTAATTTGTCATTTTGGCCTGACAAAAATACAAAGATGTCCCCTTGATCTATGGGATGCACAAACGTTGAAACAGAGGCTTTACTCTGACTGTACCTCAGTGGTAACACACAAGAGGACACAGACTGGGGCTAGGCTGCCACACAAACTACACAGGTGCACTGTCAGTTTATTAGGTGCAGTGAAAACGCACCTCACTGAAAGTGATCCTACAGCCTCCAGACTGAAATGAAAGTAGAAATGTCTGCAGTGCAAACTTAAGTCTTCATAACTTTAAGCACCATACTGTACCTCTGAGGAGGAAGAAGATGCAACAATGAAATCCTTCTTAGTCTGCATACATTTTCAGTGGCAACATTCATTTTATCAGAGCTTCAGTAAGTTTTAAATGTGGTGAACACCACTCTGGAAGAATAAATTATACTGTATATAACAGAGGGGATGAAACAGTGCACCACTCAAGTCTGCTGCTGTGTATGAACTTAGTGCCCTTACCCTCCAGGGGCCAGTCACAAATTGTTCTTCCTGTATTCCTTTCATGCACTGTCCTTGCTCGCTTCTCAAAACACAGAGGAAATCAAACCCAGGAGCCCGGAGGATTTCATTTATCCCTTTTGACAAACACAGAAAAGAGGAGCCTGTAGTGAATGCAGAAACAGCAAGAGGTGTGAGGATGCATGCATCCTGTCCTCTGCTCTTTGGTGGACTCATACTTGTCATGTTAATCAGTAACTGGGCAGGCCAGAGTAAGCACTATCAGCTCTGGAGAAACATTTCCCATTGGGATTATAAGGATATTGGACAGGAGTGACAGGCTCGAGTGCACACAGAACAACGGTGAAGAAAGGGTAACAAAAACAAAGAGTGTGGGGAATTACATTTCTTTTCCTTATTCACCTCTACAGACCATGATCGAAGACAGATACATGAATCTGAGCGCATTAGATTAACCCTAATGTGCTGAGAATCATGGTTCACAGAGGATGAATGAAAATCAGAGGGGCAGG